CTGCCTATAACCCAGGCCCGTAGCCAGGATTTGCCAAGGGGGGGGGCAGTTTTCAAAAATGTCTAGGGGTTCACATTTGACAATTTTGGTCCAAATATGGCTAAAATCACACGAGAAATGCTCAAAATGGTGAAAAACTGCATGATTTTGAAAGAATCTTTGGCCAGGGGGGTTCGCCCGAACCCCGCGAACCCCTCCCCTGGCTACGGGCCTGCCTATAACCTATAATACTCATTTATTAAAACATATATATTTTATATGTCTCTGCTCAAACTAAGTCAACCCCGATTTCAGTTCTTAATTCTTCACTTGGAACGATATAGCCAACATGATACAACATGAATTTGGATTAATTATACATATATAAAGCCTATTGTTATCAAAACCCATAAATCCTCACCATATAAATATAGTTTTATTAATGACCAAAAACAGATATCAGGGGCGTAGCCAGCTTTCAGTCAGGGGGGAGGGGGTGCGATCGCCAAAAAGTTTTCTGTTTTCAGTCAGGAGGGTACGATTGTGGCAGCATTTTAAAGCTCCTTCTTCTTTCTCAGGGTTTTATTTATATTGTTAAGGGGGGGGGGTGCGATCGCACCCATCACAACCCCCCCTGGATACCCCCACGGATATGTTGGCAACTTCCGCGTTTACCCCCCCCCCCTAATCATTTTTGCGCCCCCTCTAAATATCAGACCAATTAGGCGATAAGGCATTGATCAGGATACGATATGCTAGAGGGGTTATAATATTTATTTCTGTTTTCAAATTAAATAATTTCACCCTTGCCCGATTGGCTTGTAGATAATACACGAATCAAATAGCATGGAGATCAGATAATTAGATTGATTCGTTTTTTCGCAATCAGATGAATTAACTTATTGTTTTCTCTGATTAAAAGGCGGTTTGAAGCTTTTACAGGATTTGTAAATTCGCAATCAGACTGGCTTATTTTAATATTTAGTCAGTGCAAGAGGAGGGGACTATAATGTAGAAAATTGTTTTGATTTCGACACTAACTGAAATAATTTATCACAATAAATTGTTAAATACGGAAACAGAGACCGGTTTAAAAATGAAAAGAGAGGCAAAAAACTCTATTCATACAATGTAATTAAAACCCGGGAATTAAAAGCAATTTTAGACTGTTAGATCTTCTGTAATCAAGGTGATGTTGGTACACTTCCACCGTTAGAAAAACAAAGACTAAGACAAAGACTATATAGCAATTAATCCTTTTGTAATCATTAAATGTTAATTGTAGATTCTTATTATTTCGTTGGACAATGTTCAGACTTCTGACCAAGATTTATTCATTTATGTTTGTATTTAAAAAATAATATTTCAATCAGACATACGTTCTAATGAGTTAGAAAAATACATTTGTCCATCACCTCTCAAGAAGTTTTCAAAAGTAATCAAGTCGATTTGTTTATTTTAGTGTTTAGCATTGTTTTTCATAACTTGACGCTTCCATGAACAGAATGACTTTGAAATGAGTATTTATAATTTTAGCTTTTATACGACATGCTTATTGTATATTTCTATATGAACGTTGTAGTTATGTGATGTAACATCGCCCCCCCCCCCCAAATTACAGGTATACAACTTTTGGTCGGAATACTTTAACTTGCGATTAAAAGCAATTTTAGACTGTTAGATGATCTTTAATGTAATCTAGGTGATGTTGGTAGACTTCCGCAGTTAAGAAAACAAAGACTAAGACAAAGAGAACTATAAAGCAATTAATCCTTTTGTTATCACTAAATGTTAGATTCTTTATTGGACAATATTTTGACTTCTGTCTCCGATTGTTATGCAGATATTTGTATATAATCATGTGAACAACATATTACGTGGAAATTCCCATATTCATTCTCATAATGTCTTACAGCTATTTCTAAAATGACATGCATGTAAGCCTAAATAACATGTGGACGTAATATTGCAGAACTGAGCGAAAAGAAAGGTTGAACACATCAGATTAAGATATTTTATTTTTTAAATGCACAAAGGGCAACAGTTGAAGAGCAAAAATTAAAGGCGTTGTGAAATAGATCGTGCTTTTGTATGATCCCCTTCTATAGTGCCCTACCCTTTGCAAAAACAATATCGGATTTCAGTCTGAGACAAATGGTCAAACATGAGTTTCAAAAAACTTCTAGAATTACCTTATGTAAATATTTACGTTAGCTTGTTTAATTAAGGTCTGACGTTATGAAAACAAAGTGCCATTAATTTCTGAACCGTATAATACAGTATCATCTGTTTGGTCTCGGTATATTCCGGTTTAATTTGTATTATACAAAAAATGATATGTATAATTTGTATTATACCACTTTGAAACCTGTTATAATAGAAAATGATATGCGTATAATACTGTTTAATCTGATCCTGACATAAATTATATCAGGTTAAACTAGAATATATTTTGGTTTAATCGGGTATCATTCTCTAATGATATTTGAGTCCGGATCAGATGTTATAATATTGAATGATACTTTCTGTGATATTGGATTAAACAACAAATTAAACATCAATATAAGATGTTATCACAAGTATTAATCATAGGGTTTTACATAGTGATGCTTCAGGTTTGGCCACCATCGCGTTTTAGGCAAAACAGCACAGTTGTCAATGACTCGAATGCATTCCTCAGCAGAATGACAGGGATAATCTCACTTTTGAGGTTTACAATTGACCCTGCAGCTCTTAACCAATCAGATTTGAGTATTTCAATGAGGTGCATAATAACATCAAGTATGCCACCATGGGTAGATACAAACTCCTCATTTTTCTCAGAACTCAAGATCTCAACAAGTACATTCATGTTGGATAGTATTGCTAGAATCCATTTTCAATAGTACGAATAGGGATTCTTAAACAGGACATTAAAGCTTAACTAAGGCCTTTTTGAAATTTTGGGTTAGTAATATATCAAGAATCCTGGTATATTTTGTGTAGTACAAGGTGGCAAATGTTTTGTACACAATAACATATCCATGTGGCTTTGTAAAGAAGAAAAACTCCAGTGTCTGGGTTTTTGTAATATTCAATAGATGGCAGGTCATTCACTTGGTCAGGAATAATTGAACAAAATATATACCTGTACAATCACAATAAAATAATTTATTGCCCGGTTATGGTTGATATATTGAGGGTCAATACAATTGATAATATTGTTTTGTTACTATCTAATCTCAGTTCACGATTCTACAAGATCACCTTGACGAACTGGATTTTATCGGGTATTTTTGAATAGTCGTCTATTTACTTTCCTCTGTATATATGGTCATTTCTTCTCCCTTTTCTCCAACAACGATTTGTTTCCTATTCGTTGACACTATTCTTTCAATTGTTCTTCGTGCATTTACCAAGTTGTAGTCTCGCTTCTAGACTGTAGACCCTGACTGTGGGGCTTCACAAGGGCTTGTTGCTAGACTAACGAAATTGTTAACTATCGAGAAGCTCGACGAGCGAAGTACTACGACGCATCCTATCTGTAACAAAACGGTTCCGTTCGAGTTCCTCTACAGTTTTATTTGGATAACACATCGATTGATATTAAATTTTACCACTATAATAAAGAACTCGACCAAACACTGCATCTAGAAGCAGAGCTTAAACTCTCCGCCCAATAGAATCATGGCCGGAATCAATGGGTATTCTGCAAAATTTAAACAAGCCATTAACATGCAAAATGTCGCCACCTGCCATTTATTACAGACGCCGATCGCCAAACACCAACCGCCGAACGTGGAACACCGTGTACAAAACGTTTGAGACTGTAACAATATGTCACCACTTTTGGTGGTGACATAAATAGGGAATCTGAAATCATTTGGATGTGATCAAACATTGGAACAATGGTCATAAATAGAGTTATGTGAAACAATGGGCAACGCAATACCCCGGGCGCAATACAAAATGGAGAATCTTGATTCATGAGGACGTGATCAATCATCGGAACAGTGGCCATAAACAATACAATAAATAATGTGTAATCCGGAGCTTTACAGGGGAAATAACAGAGACAGAACAAGGTATATGAAACATTTCTTCCACGAAAATGCAAATATTAATGGCATGTTTTATATAACTGGTTTTCAAATAACATTTAACCCATATCAACACGCGTACGTATGTATATATTTATTTATTCCATAATACTACTGTTTTCCCAGGGAAATATGAAGGAATAAAAATCGTATTGAATCGTATTACATGAAAAAATCGTATTGTCCCCGGGAAAAAATCGTATTGGAGCGTATTACATGGAAAAATCGTATTGTCCCCGGGACAAAAAATCGTATTGGAACGTATTAACCTATTTTTGGTTTTCCCGGTTATTTTTAACCTTGACTGATTGATAAAATCATTATCCAAATGTAACATTTTAAGGAGGAATGTATTATGGAATAAATAGGTTATTTCTGGTCGGGATTGAATATGGGTTTTATTCCTCGGAAAATATGATATTGACCTTGGGAAATATGATATTGACACTCGGTCGCTGCGCTCCCTCGGTCAATATCATAATACCCTTCGGTCAATATCATATTGTCCCTCGGAATAAAACCCATATTCAATCCCTCCCAGTAAATATCCTATATGTATTATTCCATCAATAACAATCGTAATGTATCGTATTACATGACAAAATCGTATTGCCCCCGGGAAAAATCGTATTGAAGCGTATTACATGAAAAGACGCATTGTCCCCGAAAAAATCGTATTGGAGCCTATTAACCTATTTTTGAAAGGTGCATTCATTATAGTTTGCACTATCCAAATGTAACATTTTAGAGGGATGTATTATGGATTAAATAGATTATTTCTGGTCGGGATTGAATATGGGTTTTATTCCTCGGAAAATATGATTGTCCCTCGGAATAAAACCCATATTCAATCCCTCCCAGTAAATAACCTATATCAACTAGTTATTTATATCGACGCATATGCGAAATAACCACAAAACTGCACTGAATACATTTGAAAAGTTCATGGGATAAATAAAATATCATATGATTTTTCTTGATATAATTTTCATTGGTTTATTTCACTGGACTCATTGATAAAAATGGAATCATGACATAGCATACTTCTCCGGAGTCTCGACCTTACTTTATATATTCTGATATTTATTTTAAGACTATATCTACAATCATATCATATCATACATTGCATCGTGGTATAAGCCACGCCCTCTCCTCTATCCTTCTGCGATGCAAGAGAGAGATGCTATGAGTATCAGAATGCATACATTGGCGATTAGTTGCCTAGAAAATACCAACGTGGTTTAACAGTAACAACAAAAGACGATGGCAATATCATGATCTCCGAAATGTTACGTGCGGTGTATTAATTAATCAAATCTTGTTCTGTCTGTGTTAAGGGACATTGTGACTCTCAGATATATTAATGAATACACGATCCCCCTTGTATTTTATGATTGCATCCTTAACATTCGGCTGATAATATTAGGGAGTTTAAGACAGGATCAGACTTTTCATGAATATGAATCAGTTTGACGATTTTGTTGTTTATGGAGCGATGTTCTGCTCCCGTGGGGTCCGTTAAGCCCATTAGATAAATTAGACACTGGGCGCAGAGGCATCGTATCAGTCTTCTCAGTACTTTCACTCGATGAGTCGTCTGGATACTTAGCTAAATACATCTGGGCCCCTCTTTTGTCACTCTGAGTAAATTTCACCGTCGTGAGGAGAGTGTTGGACCGTCTCATTGATTGGAGAGTATCTGCCGTTGGTTTGGACTCGCATCCAGCCAAAAACGGACAACATTTCCTAAAGACATGTTTAAAGCCATTCCTATATTTGGCGTTCATCCAACAGTAAACCAAAGGGTTGTAACAGCTGTTGCTCATGGCGAACCAATGGCTGCAAATCCAAACGACATTCATGTACTGGTTGTGCCAGATTGACGGCTGAAGGTCACCCAAGATCGTTATAGTGTGCAGGGGCAGCCAACAGATGGCGTAAATGATCACAACAGTAATCATCATCTTAATCATCTAAAATAATATCAATATATGCTATCATCATCGGGTGGATTGATTAAGCTTTATTGCATTTGATATATTGTTTACCTTGTCGGTTTATTCACTGTTATATTTTAAAACGTCTGTTTCATTATTCTAATATTATTTTCACAGACCTTGAAAGACAATTGACATGCTGACGTACTTGAAGACATGGTGGGCTATGTAAACGTCTCCAAACGTTATTATAAAGCTAAACCAATACATGCTGGTGATTTGATTAAGCCATATACTGTCATCAATAGTAAGAACAAGGAAATCAAGTTTGACATGTCATATTAGCTTTTTATCTAGAAATGGATTATAAACCTTAATTACTTTATCTTAACTTAATTAATTCTTGTCATTGCAATCGTTGGATAAGTTCAAATAAATATATCACTGGGATTACCATATTCATGTATTAACTTGGGAAGGGAAACTTTTTAATCGCATACAATATCACAATGATAAATTACTTTACAACGCTCCTTAACAATTCCCAGTACGGTATACCATTACTGACTTTATTGTTATATATTTAACAAATTATTCAAATATTGAAATTCAACTACTTCTAAATTGATCTGAAAGTGAAATTCCACTTTATTTGAAATGTCCTATTTTATTCACCTTTGAGAATAACCCCGAAACATTAATTTATTGCCGACTCATGGAATTTGTGAGACTATCAGAACTGTACTCGACGCACCCCGAGATAATCATGAATATTGAAGAGAAAGATGAAGTCTTATCTTTAATCAGATAGACTTGAAGAGAAAATGGAATATCAGAACGTACGCGTATATTCGCAGCATGGGAATTCCATACAAATTAAACATAAATCCCACTATATAGATTAAAGAGACAATGCGAAATGTTAGAAGAAACGTATAGTTTGTGCTTATATCTGATAGAAAAGGTACCTTTCTTTTCGAAGCAGCCATGCGCTGATCTCTGTTATTCTCCGCCTCACCGGGTGGCTTCTTTGCCCATATGACCACACCTATCCATATGTATGTAAATATTAACACTGACACGGGCACAAAGTACTGTAAAGTTAATATAGTCATTGTGTAGTTCACCGCTCTGGATGGAGGGTCCCACTTCTCTGTACAATAGTCTCTCATAACACCATTATAGTCCAGCGCCTGGTGAGTGCGGGAGAGAATAGCCGTGGGGAGAGAGATGGCGATAGCGGAGATCCAGATCAGAATGATGATGATAAACGCCTGGCTTGTGGACATACGTTGTCGCAAGGGGAAGATAATGGCAATGTAACGGTCAATGCTAATAGCTACGAGAGTAAATGCGCTAAGAAACACTGCTCCAGTTTGCGAGAAAGCCATCACAGGACACATAAATGCTCCAAACGGCCAGTGGTGTAAGAGAGTGTTGGCTATAAACGAGAACGGTATGCAGAGAGCGGCCATAAGTATATCACTCACGGCCAGGTTAACAATAAAGTAATTGGTAACACTACGCATCCTTTGATAAGCGAGGACAATGTAACATACAATGACATTGCCACCGATCGCCAGAACTGTTATGGTCATGTAAATGGTGGTGAGAAGGATTTGAGCGTACGTTGGTAATGAGTAATCCACCGGTTGAGATGTGTCATTCATATTACTGGTAGAATTGGTTCCATTGTAGTTGCGGTATGGTAAATCCGATTGTGTAACATTTGAAACCATCTCATCGTATATGTTCTGGGTAGCACTCGTAACATTACTCATCTTGCTACTCAAATCTTCCATTTTGATCTGTCAATTTCCTAGGTTGTTACGTTGATATGATTTCAATATCGTTTGTATTCAGCGTTGCAGGTTTAACCAAACTCAGCGTCGTTAATATCCAGCGTCGCAGTATTTACAATGAACGAAGCATCTCTGATAAATAAGTTAGCGTGGTGACTCCTCCTACGACCTCAGTGTTGTTCTGGAATAAACAATAACATGTAATTAATAAGAACCTAGCAATATCACAGATTTTCATTCCAAGTTAAATGACCAGTGAAGTATAAAATGAAGCGTCAATAGTTGACAGGGTCGGCCTTAATCCTGTCATAGAAACCTACAGCTCCCAAGAGAGTGTAATAATTCAAGAAACGCAAAACATATCAATTCACGTCTTTGTGAAATGAGCAATTCTTCAATGTAGTAATTAAGCTAAATTGAGGTACATCAAGTGGCTTTCGATAGATGATAAAACTCCATTACTGATTCAAACTGATTTCAATCCGTTATTATTTTTATGTACAAATCTGTTAGTTAAGTCACGAGTGAACCTACTAAAATACTGACTTATTGCCTGGTTTCTAATTGCGGCACTTAAAGCTTACCATTGGAACTCCTCTTGGAAACCGATATATTCCGAGAGTCGACGGGCAAAACATATATTCCCTTCGTGTCAATACGTTTACTCAAATAGATCTCTATACACGTTTGTTATACTATATACTGTATAGAACCTTTGCTATAGAGCTTTGCTGTCTTGTTGGTCTCATTTTAAAGAGAGTTTTTTATATTTCACCATTTTTGACTTACATTTGATAACATCTATGTAAAAATATGTTCAATATGTTCTCCTCGAAAACTTTGAGTTTAACTTTCCATGGTTTCCAAAAGGGTCGAACTAAATCCTCTTTGATACAACAAGACACCAAATGTATATCAAAGATGCAAATTACATTAATCTAATACATCAAAAAACAAAGTAATTTTAAGTCATCGTATTACGTATTTTAATAGTAGTTCCTCGACCTCTAATTAAATGTTTCTTCAATCTTGCCAAAGGTTGGTAAGTATACGTTAACTGCTGCGTGAGTTTCTCGCCAAGTTATGAACAAGGATTCATTTCTTTCACTCGGTCGCGAATTTCACAGTTTTCAATGTTGCGATAATATACATGTTTAACAGTATTTGAATATAGAATTGAAATCGCAATGCAATACCTCTTAATGCCTGGAGATGAAAATGAAATCTAGAGAATATCGTTTGCGCCATAATTTCTCTTGATGATAAAGTATTGTAGAGAGGTACTTGGACGATAGTGGCGGATATAGCACTAATGCATGACCAATTAGGCAAACAAAGCTTCCAAACAAAAATCACTCACTGCCATTTTTGATTCCACTAAACCTCTCAGATTTGTGTTATTAAGTATTCATCGTATGGCTTATTTAATGTCTTCCCTGGATTTTGCTTGCTGATTTCTCAAGAACAATCGAAGTTGTATTCTCCATAAATGCATACTGCAATTAATATGTTGTATTTGAAGTATTCCATCGATATGCTTTCTAGAGATATAAGTTTTCCTTTATTTGTTCTGGGTTTTCAAATTGGTATGATATAATGCACTGCCTTAATACCAACTGAAATACTAAATATCTGTTGAATGCTCAAGGAGTGCGTTTGTATACTTAATATAATAGGATCAATAGTTTAACACAAAAGACGGCATTATCTTTAATGTAACCCTTATCATAAATAGAACGTCCACTATTATCATAAAATCTTTAATACATACTGTATAGAAATATGTGAGACGAGCTTTAAGTCAATCGTGATGATTCTTATTGGCCATTATTGTCTCCCTCCTAAAACAAGCGCCTTTTTGTCCATGACTACTTCACAGTGATAAAATATTTTAAGTTCGGAGTTGATCAAAACAAAAGATTTCGTTCGATCAATAACGTAATGACATTCTGATAAATACGAAAGATATTCCCAGTAAATATTTATTGTCTGGTATGTATGTAAGCAAAGCAACGAGCTTTGATTGATCTCATTTGATAAGTTATCTATTATCACGAGGCACCGAGAGATAACAGTGACTGCAGTTATCGTTTCTTTTGGAGTGTCCCCGTGAAGATCTTCAACTTGCAAAATTGATTGATTAAATTGATTGAATGTTTAATACATATTTTGAGCATATTACATTGCATATGCAATGCGTTCAAGTGGCCTCAAGCATAAGAAATACAAATATAATTGTATTCATAAACAAAATGTTAGCGGATATTTATAAAACAGTAATCTTTCAAACGAAATATTTTTTCTTTCAATTAACATTTTACACGTAACTTTCCAGGATGTTGAACTATTATTATTCGTCAATGTCTTCAGTGTACTTCAAGATCACCCCAATGTGTTGTGTCATTGTTACCCAAGTTACCCCAAACCACCTAAGTTTTTTAACGTAAACCGTAAACATCTATTACTAAAATAAAAAATAATAATTCTTGTCTTTGAATTACTTAAATGTGTCATTTGTGCTAAAAGACAGTAGTTTCATGTAAATACGACAACGGCTGTTGTGGTCATTTGTGCTTAAGAAAGTCGTTCATGTAAGTACTGTTACCACTCACTTTTTGACATTAATTAGTCAATTAATTAATTTATTATATTATTCAATATCACTGATATTTATTTTGATATCATTGATATTTACGACAACGGCTGTTGTGGTTATTTGTGGTAAAGAAAGTCGTTTCATGTAAGTACGATAACCGCTGTTGTGGGTACAACAGTTGTGGTTTACCTAGCGGCCTCTCACCCAGATATTATATAAAAAGATAGATAACCTTTATCGAATGTATTTAATTTACATGTACGAAGTCACGTGTATTTGTAAAATTGTTGTTAATGTTTCTCGATAAAATGATAACGAATGACGTGTGTTAGATTATCAGTCTTCTTAAACGACCTACTATTTCTATTCCAATATTATTTTATATTTCATCTTCCTTCTTTCTATGAACAATTTATTTTCGCTAAAATGCATGATTTGCTCTTTAACGCTAGATTTTCGTAGCAATAATGAAACATTTATTGTATTATTACCACATTTACTATTTTAATGCCATTCTATTATGGTCTGTTTGCATCAATGAAACTACATTTGATGCTTTCTGAATGTTACACCCACTTTAAATAATTATTAAATTCATTACTAACCAATGACGTAACACAATCTCATTCACCGAGTTTGCTTATTACATTAAAATTATGACAATATATACTGATGCCCATATCTTTATGGATGTGCCCACGTCGGAATTGGTCAGAATAAGATTCAAGGACTATCTTCTCACGTTTCAATGGTATTTGACTAAGTTGGTAATACAACGTTTCTAAATAATGCTTTATTACCTACCATTTCTGAGTCAATAGAAGATTACATTTAATCAGCCTTTGCTGCAATAACATCAACTCAATTTCTTTGCAATCTCAGCAAGTATTTTCTTGTGAAGAGATTTTAAATGACATTGAAAGACCTGAACTAAATCACACCCACGTTATTTTGTAAGCATGTAGAAATCTCGAGATATGGTCAAATAATTTAACAGTTATTTTATCTATATTCGGCGGGTATCCCTTGTCCTTCTATCCTTGGCTTTTAGATTTTGTTGCCTCATTGACAGATTAAAACGGACCATGGTGTTTAAACTGCTTTTTTATTTGCTACATTAAGTATTCCATACATACCAAATAAAACAAACAATTTACCAATCCTTTACCCAATCTATCGAATGTTTTTTATTTTATCGCATATAATAATCTAGTATAGAATTTATATTTGCTAAATAATTACACTTGTTCTTTCTCTTGGCATTTTACTACCTTACTGACTCGTCATGATCACAATTGTGCTGGGACTACATTCATTTTTTAAAACTTTTTTCAGTGGAAGTGACGTATCAGGGCATTTTGGCCACCGTGGCATGCAAGCTATAGCTTTTAATAATGAAGTTTTCGATCAAGTTATATCAAGACATAGAGAATCGTTTAGATGCCCGCAGCCAGGTTTTGGTTAGGCGGGGCTCGAACCGCCCCTCCCCCCCCCCCATCCACACACAAAAATGTTTTCTGACTTAACCAACTTCGCGTTGTGACCACAAGGGTGTTATTAACAAGACACCAGGGGTGGCCACGAAAACAAAAGAGAGGACTCAAAAATTTCCGCACTTGCGTAGAAGAAAATAAGGGCCCAAATTTTGAAAAATGCCCACTAATGCCCTAATGTTGTTAGAAATGCTAGTTGATTTAGCTAGTTGATTTAGACGGGCCAAATTATCATAGCCTGTAAAATAATAGCTTGTGAAGGATGTAGCAAGAAGGCATGCTCCCCCTGAAAATTTAGGAGTTTTTGGCTGATTTATTGCGTTTTTAGCGATTCTAGGATCAAAATACATGATTTACGTATTTCCCATAAAAATGAATTTTTAGGCTTATTTGGCGCATTTTGGACAATTCTGGTGCATTCTGAGCGATTCTAGGATCAAAATTATATTATTTACGTATTTAAAGAAATGAATTTTTAGGCGTTTTGCACATTCTGGGTGATTCTGATGCGTTCTGATCGTTTTAGGGATCAAAATATATTAACGTATTTTAAAAAATCGAAGTTTTCGGCTTATTTGACAATATATTATTTGACACTTGATATTACATCAAATAGTCAGTAAGATAAAATATTGAAACTTCTTTTGCGACGAGTTAAATACACCAGGGAATACATTAACTGTGGTTAGGTCACAGGTGACACTGTAATAAAATTTTCAAAAATAAAAATAGACTGTGGTTAGTTCTAAGTGTAACCCATGAATACCTGATTAGCGTTCAGTCCCAGGCTCTGGTTAGTTCTATTGAGTGTTACCAATGAATACCTGATTAGCGTTCAGTTCCAGGCTCTGGTTTATTCTGTTTAGTGTAACCCATGAATACTTGACAAGCCTTCAGTTCCAGATTCTGGTTAGTTCTATAAGTGTAACCCATTGATACTTGATCAGCGTTCAGTTCCAGGCTCTGGTTTATTCTGTTAAGTGTAACCCATGAATACCTGATTAGCGTTCAGTTCCAGATTCTGGTTAGTTCTAGCGTTCAGTTCCAGATTCTGGTTAGTTCTATAATTGTAACCCATTGATACTTGATCAGCGTCCAGTTACGGGCCTTGATTATAAGTGAACGGCAAACTTGATAGAAACATTAAACATGTTTTCCGCATCGAAGCTTCATCTTTGTACAATGTACATTGCACATGAATGCTTACTTCTTATAAATACAACATATTATCTTATTATAAGGTATTGACAATACCCATGTTAAGGTGAAATGTGCATTTATGTCGACTTGTACCTCGCGATTGAGAGCTGTTTATCTCTGATGTATTAAATGTGAACATGTGTCGCTAGATAAAGAAATGCGGACAATTATGAGACTTAAACGTAAGCGTTTCACATTTCTTTACATTTTCGAAGTCGCCTTGCATTTGAATCGAGGTGCGTTTTACATTTCTTCACAATTTCAAAAACTCAGTCTCAGTTAACTTGCTTATTTAATTGAGATATTTAAGATAAGATCACGAATCGCTAGATAAGGAATCCTGAAAAGGACGATATTTAAGCGTTAGCGTTTCACATTTCTTCACATTTTCAAAGACTTGTTCTCAGATAACTTTTTAGTTGACAATTCTAGATGCGTCGCAATCGAGAGCTGTTTTTCTCAGATGTGTTAAATGTGAACATGAATCGTATCAACGTACCGTTGTTAGATGCACAATACTAGTAAAACAACGACGAGTTTCACATTTCTTCACATTTTCAATTGATTTCAGTTTCAGGCGAGTGTGGATATCTAAATATTAGTCCGGGTAACTCATTTATTTCAAATCACTGATACATCTGGCAAAAGTATCACCATGGGTACCTGTCCACTACACACATTGTATTACCTTCATCTATGTTGACTTTCACACGGTGTCTCTATTTTATAACTTGTCGGTCCACCGACTAAGAGTGAATATGACAGCTTTGATTACAACATTGGCGATTGCAATAATAGTGACATTTGGAATAAATTTCAGATTTGCAAATGGAAAAGTGAACTGGAAACATAAGTTTTCAAAATGTGATAAGAGTCCTACTGATGTAAAGATAGAACTGGCACAGTGCAAAGGGCAGCAAGGTAGAGTATGGATCTGCAATAAGTAATGGAAGCCACTTTATAAATCATTGGTTAGCTATCCTTCAACGTAAAATTCTTAACACGTACATGGTTCAAATAGAAGAACACATTGATCATTCTGCATCAATCATTCTTAAAAATTTGTACCCTTCGCCATGTTGGGATATTCAATCCGAGGGCACCAATCCACCACGCCATCTTTTACAATGGGAAGGGTGGATTCACATAGACTTCAGAACATTCTAATCGTATTGTTGGGAACGTAATTTCGACTTAGGTAGGCTTCATACGACCCTTTCTCGATGTGTAAAATGTTGTTATCTTCTATAAACAAACACTACATAAACTGTCCACAAAATATGAATGTAGACGTTTTTCCGTCCAAATGAAAGAATATGAAAGCCGATAGAAAATAGTGACAGAAACTTGTTGGCTTTAACTTTCGTTTTTCCTCGCATATTTCATCGTGGTAAGCCACGCCCTCTCCATCTCTATCCTTCTGCGATGCAACAGAGAGAGATGCTATGAGTATCAGAATGCGCAGTATTTAAATTTGCTTAGATTATTTTTAGATGTTGTATACGTCACTGACCAAACTTTTATCCACCCACCGGACTAATCTGCCGCGTATCACTGCTCCCCATCCATCTTGTTACTTTGACGTACCGTATCGTCAAAGTAACAATTTGGATGACTTTCCGGTTTTTCTTTTCTAGATTTACACTTACAATCATAGAAAAATCTAATCTAGGAATGTACTGGCGGCTATAAGTTTCTCTTTTGAAAAATAGCAGCAATTCCAATACTCAGTCACTTCATTTTGCAACCTTGACGAGAGGATTATTCTCGGTTTGGAGAACGAAGTTCATTGCTACTCTAATTCAGCGCTACCCCTTCTTCGGACATATTTGATTTTTTACATAATATAGATATGTCTTCTTTTGAATATTCATTATTCAATTTGGGTGATATTTTTAGATTTTTCATTAAAACAAATATAAGCGCAGTACACTGGTGAACTTCTTTCTCCAAATCGAGACTTGTATTTTATTGAATCGGTCTACTGCACGTTACCCCTGCTTCGCACAATTGTGATATTTTAACTTCTTGTGGATTTAAATGTCCTCTTTTGAATATTCATAATCTAATTTTGGTGATATTTCTATATTTTTAATAAAAAAGTATTAGCCCATGAGACTGTTCTAAAAACCGAGAATTGTCCTCACAGCTTGTTATTTGACCTATTCGTAAGTGTAAATTAGTCAAAATCCAGAAAACATAAATCCAAAAACGGAAGGACATCCATGTTGTTACTTGACTGTACGTCGAAGTAACTAGATGAGGAGAAATGGTGTATAATCCAGTTGGCCATTCGAATGGTGAATAACCCGACTTTATAAGTATATACAGTTGTATACCGTACAGTGAACCATATATTTATTGCTAAATGACTTACACAAATGCAGCAAAACCATAAAACACTGCCCAGTGTCTTATGAACTGGAGATCAATTAATTAAACCAGCTAAAATGATACTCATGTTTTGCTTCATATCACACAGATTACGTAAATTGCAAACACAATGAACGAATGTCCCTTTTATTAACATTATTTGAATGCAATAGCTTTTAATAATGAAGTTTCATGTTCGATCAAGTTATATCAAGACCAAGAGAATCGTTTAAATCATGCAACCGTGTCATCATGGCTCCAATCTTGTAACATTTGAAATTGTATTCCAGTTTCTCATTACTGGCATTCAAGACAGATAAACGAATAAATTGAAAATAAATTGAACATATTGATACAACATCAAAAAATCAATGAGATAAAACATTGAACTTCTTTTGCGACAAGTAATTATAAAATACACCGGGGAATACAATTACTGTGGTTAGTAAGTTAGTAACCCAAAAATACCTGATAAGGTTCAGTTGCAGGCTTTGGTTAGTTCTATTGAGTCTAACTCATGAATAGTAAGTGCAACCCATAAATACCTGCAATAAATACTTGATTAGGTCCAGTTGCAGGCTCTGGTTAGTTCTATTGAGTCTAACTCATGAATAGTAAGTGCAACCCATAAATACCTGCAATAAATACTTGATTAGGTTCAGTTGCAGGCTCTGGTTAGTTCTATTGAGTCTAACTCATGGATAGTAAGTGCAACCCATAAATACCTGCCATAAATACTTGATTAGGTTCAGTTGCAGGCTCTGGTTAGTTCTATTGAGTCTAACCCATGAATAGTAAGTGCAACCCATAAATACCTGCCATGAATACTTGATTAGGTTCAGTTCTAGGCTCTGGTTAGTTCTATTGAGTCTAACCCATGGATAGTAAGTGCAACCCATAAATACCTGCCATAAATACTTGATTAGGTCCAGTTGCAGGCTCTGGTTACTTCTATTGAGTCTAACCCATGGATAGTAAGTGCAACCCATAAATACCTGCCATAAATACTTGATTAGGTTCAGTTGCAGGCTCTGGTTAGTTCTATTGAGTCTAACCCATGAATAGTAAGTGCAACCCATAAATACCTGCCATGAATACTTGATTAGGTTCAGTTCTAGGCTCTGGTTAGTTCTATTGAGTCTAACCCATGGATAGTAAGTGCAACCCATAAATACCTGCCATAAATACTTGATTAGGTCCAGTTGCAGGCTCTGGTTACTTCTATTGAGTCTAACCCATGGATAGTAAGTGCAACCCATAAACACCTGCCATAAATACTTGATTAGGTTCAGTTGCAGGCTCTAGTTAGTTCTATTGAGTCTAACCCATGAATAGTAAGTGCAACCCATAAATACCTGCCATTAATACTTGATTAGATTCAGTTGCAGGCTCTGGTTAGTTCTGTTGAGTCTTACCCATGTATAGTAAGTGCAACCCATAAATACCTGCCATAAATACTTGATTAGGTTCAGTTGCAGGCTCTGGTTAGTTCTGTTGAGTCTTACCCATGTATAGTAAGTGCAACCCATAAATACCTGCCATAAATACTTGATTAGGTTCAGTTGCAGGCTCTGGTTAGTTCTGTTGAGTCTTACCCATGTATAGTAAGTGCAACCCATAAATACCTGCAATAACTACTTGATTAGGTTCAGTTGCAGGTTCTGGTTAGTTCTGTTGAGTCTAACCCATGGATAGTAAGTGCAACCCATAAATACCTGCAATAACTACTTGATTAGGTTCAGTTGCAGGTTCTGGTTAGTTCAATTGAGTCTAACCCATGGATAGTAAGTGCAACCCATAAATACCTGCAATAACTACTTGATTAGGTTCAGTTGCAGGTTCTGGTTAGTTCTATTGAGTCTAACCCATGGATAGTAAGTGCAACCCATAAATACCTGCCATAAATACTTGATTAGGTTCAGTTGCAGGCTCTGGTTAGTTCTGTTGAGTCTAACCCATGAATAGTAAGTGCAACCCATAAATACCTGCCATAAATACTTGATTAGGTTCAGTTCTAGGCTCTGGTTAGTTCTGATTAACTGTAACTCATAAATACCTGATATGCTTTCAGTTCCAGGCTCTGGTTAGGTCTATTAAGTGTAACTCATGAACTCCGCGAGATAAGCGTTAATTTACGTACGCTCTGGTTAGTTTTATCATGGGTTTTCAACTGTTGAAAGCCCATGGTTTTATTAAGTGTAACACATGAATACTTGATTAGCAATCAGTTCCAGGCTCTGGTTAGTTCTTTTAAGTGTAGAACCCACTAACACTTTATCAGCGTTCAGTTCCAGGCGCTTGCTAATTCTTTTAGTGTACCCAATGAATAACTGATCAGCGTCCAGTTACGGGCTTTGTTGATTGATGGACGGCAACGTTTATATAAAATACATTCTCTATATCGAAACTTCATCTTTGTACATGTACATGGATACAAAATTTTTACAAATACAACATTTTATGAGGTATTGACAGGACCAATGTTAAGGTGAAAGGGCCATCTATGTCAACTTGAAACTCAGATTGAGAGCTGTTTATATTAGATGTATTAAATGTGAGTATGAGTTAGATAAAGAAATGTGGTCAATGACGAGACTTTAACGTAAATGTTTCACATTTCTTTACATTTTAGAGGTCGCCTTGCATTTTACTTGAGGGGCATTTAAAATTTCTTTACAATTTCAAAAACTCAGTTTCAGTTAACTTGCTTATTTAAATGAGATACACTAGATAAGATTATGAATCGCTCGATAAGGAATCCTAAAAAGAACGATATTTAAGCGTAGGCGTTTCACATTTCTTCACATTTTCAAAGACTTGTTCTCAGTTAACTTGCATTTTTAGTTGACGATACTAGATACCTCGCGATCAAGTGCTGTTTATCTTAGATGTATTAAATGTGAACATAAATCGTATCAGCGTACCAATGCTACTCGTAGATGCGGAATGATAGGCAACAACGACGAGTTTCACATTTCTTCACATTTTCAATTAACTTTCACTTTTAGGCGAGTGTGGATATCTAAATATTAGTCCGGGTAACTCATTTATTTCAAATCACTGATATATCTTGCATAAGTATATCTGTCTACAACACCCATTGTATTACCTTGATTTATGTTAACTTGCACAGACACGGTGTGTCTATTTTATAGCTTTCCAATGATTATCAAATAATAATTTTGTCGCTAAAACATCTGCTGTTATTTAACTTTCATTTAAAAAATTGTAAATCATACAAAGCAAATGTTGTTTGAAATAATACAATTCAAATCAATTAGATGTAGAATAATATTATCTTCAGACTATTTTACCAGATACCATATGCATATTTGACTTGCATAGAGGCGGCACCAATAACAAGTGGTTATTTTACTTAAAACAAGTTTACAACAGATATTGTGGACCCACTAAGAGTGAACATGACGGCTTTGATGACAACATTGGTGATTGCAATAATAGTCACATTTGGAATAAATGTCAGAGTTGCAAATGGAAAAGTGAACTGGTATCATGAATTTTCAAAATGTAATACGAGTCTTACAAATGTAAAGATAGAACTGGCACAGTGCAAAGGGCAGCAAGGTAGGGTATGGATCTGCACGTGGAAAATGTTGGTTGTTAAAAAAAACTCGGTATATTGTATATAAAATTTAGATAAAAATTGCATTAATTTACTTTCTGAATCTAGGGCCGATAAAAGAATGCCCATTGGGTTTCACGAAAAACGAGAAATTTGGATCTTGCTACAATTTTGTGACACGTCAGAAAATGATTTGGATCCACGCGTTGGCATTCTGCACTGCACTAGGTGCAAACCTGGCTGCCATTGAAACACAGGAGGAACTGACATTTATTCAAGAAGAAATTGTTCGCAGAGGTGTTGCATCTCCTGGGTCAAATGCTGATTCATTTTACACGGGTGGGACATCGATCAATGGCGCATGGGAATGGATTGGTGGGCCGTCTTGGCCGACAAAACCAATGGAGTTCGCCCCATGGGTGAATGGACAGGGTGCAACTGGCGATCAGCTATGCCACACCCTCTGGGCTCCATGGGGATATCTTTGGGGTGATATCCACTGTACAAGCACCTATGTCACCAACTTCATATGCGAGATTACACTTGATTAAACTAGATGAGAATGCAAAAATAAACCTGGATGGACTGAGATATACAGGCGACAAGAACAATCCATTCTCAATTGTGCAATTGTAGATTGAAATAAATGTCTAGAATATGACAGACATCAATCACGATATTTTAATGCCTTAATCACTGGTGATCCACTCGTTTACACTGGTTAACCGTTTCGGTAACAAAATGTCGGAACGTCGAAGGTACGATTTCCTTTTTCCTTATTTCACACGTTGTAGGCAGAATTCTACGTTCCGACGTTTTGTTACCGAATCGCACAGTTTCGGTAACCAGCGTAATCGAGCAGATCACCAGTGTTAATTGTGTAAGGTATATGTAAAAGCTATAATTTGTCCTTTTCGGTCCACAAGTTTCCTTTTTGTTATTTTGCTGTGCTACTCTATATTTTGTTGGGAAAGCTCCTTCAACATAAAATTCTTAAACACGTGATATGGTTAAAACAGAAGAACACATTGATGGATATTTGCCTATACTCGAATGATTCTGTTTGGAAATTTTTTCAACTTATGCTGTTTGTACCCTTTATTATGTTGGGATATTCAATCTGAGATAGGAACCGATGTACGCACTGCAAGAACATAATTAGCACCAAAGGGAGGGAGACCCCAAAGCATAAAACTCTGCTAGTAAAGGAAACATCTTATTGCAATATAAAGAAAACAAATTCCCAAACAAAAATGATACAGGTTATCTCAATTAACAAGGACGAGAGTGTAGAATTAGTTGTTCTCAAATGCCCAGTAACAAAGTTAATCAAACTCTCAAGAATAAAAATAAGTCTAAAAATAAGCTCTTTTACCAGATATTTCCCAAATAATTCAGTTTTTATTGATCGATTCCTTGGAAATAAACAATGTCGATAACATTACAAAAGCGTTTGGTTCAATATACCGGCCATCCTTTGAAAAGTATTTGAAAATCTCCATTCATTAAGAATTATGAACACATTGAAATCGAAAAGATCGATGGTAAATTGGAAAATGATCCCTTTTATGAAATATGAGCAACCGTTAACTTTTTAATTCATTATCAATCATCTTAGCATCGAAAACCCTCTGAAACAAGCTTTTATGTGAGACGAAGTCAAGAAGTCATGTATTTAGTTTAAAGAAAATAGATCCCCGATGTAAAACTTGTAATTTGTATGAAGAAATGCAATTCCAAAAGGATTAAATCAAAGTTGAATGAGGTTGGCGCAACCCTAGAGCTTTGAGCAGGACGATTCCCTCTTATCGCCAATCGTTTGAATGCAAGGGATAACTCTCTCTATAGATATACAATGATATAACGGGTTAATTTGAATATACGCCCAGAAGAATTAATCCATCGCAAATATACATCCAAGGTCAAATTGCCTAATAGATAAGTAGGAAATGATACGCGCGTAACTAATTAATTGTGTTTAGTAAGATGAATCGAAAATTAATTGAACTTATACCAACTATGTTAATCTGAACACAGGACTTTGTGCAAGAACGACCTTGGAGGACCATTTATTAAGTCTGTTTCCACACGGCCAAGAACCTCCTTTTAGTTAATTTACCAGATTACGTATATTAAGCACATTGACGTTAGGCCTAAGTACAGGAGTCAGATGTGATTAATAAAAAATGAGAACTAATCTGATAAATTCAGCTGCTGATACAACGCTTTATATAATCACCTGTGTATGTTTTCTAAAAGTTGTCAGCTTAGAACGAAATTTCGCAGATCTACATTTTTTTTAATTTGTTGTTCCTTTTAACAATAATCTTATTTTCTCGAATACCATTAACATTTTATGTATATGTAAATAAAAATCCCAACATCAAGTCATTTATTTGTTTTGTGATATTAGAATTTTTCTGTCATGTGACTTTTGTTTTGGTGTGAGTGCAAAGGTTCGATTTATCTTCACTTCACCTATGTACATGTATGTACAGAAGTACGCAATTACATTTTATAATACAGTTGACAAAAATAATAGAATGGTCCCACTTGTAAGATCCGTTTCTTCGACCGTCATCCTGTCATGGTTGAAAAACTCATTTAAGGAAACTAATGAATACAGTAAGATGCTGTAAAATACTAGTTGCAACCCTAAAATTAATGTATTATTGAAGGCAACGTCTGAGATGATAAGTATGTTTTATCATAACTAGATACAAATATACAGCAATCGAGAATATATCTATCATTAGTATTCACGGAGTTCCTCTGAGAATCCCATGGGAAGAAAATGTCAGGTTTAAGTCATCTGGTCACAATACGCTGTCAAGTCATGAGGAAAACAAACGCCAGCGTTGACTTTCAAACAGAGTCTTTTTAGCGTATATCAATGGGGTTGTTTCTAAAAGCGAGTGAGTGTTTAATGAAATTAAACGATACGATTAAATGAGATGTAATAAAGTTGTCATAATTCTCTCTTGGGTAATGAAAACGCTAGCCTTTAAAACATAGAGGAATTAAAAAACAAAGACACGGCATTTTTGACGTCAGTTAAACGTTAAGTGATAATTTAAACACTTACCAGCCCTCTGTTGCCACCTACAGACACAGAATATTAATTGATGATGTTCATAAATGAAATATTCCTTTCAAATATCAACGTTCCAAGTGATTAGAAATGATATCAATCCAACCGTGTCAAATGAAAATAAAAGCTGGAAAATCACAATAAATCAGAACTCTTTCGACACGAGCAATGCAACGTTGATTAGCTAGCCAACCAAATCACATACCAAGTGTCAAAAATATCAAGATTTAACAAGCTCTTTGATATGGAACACGATGCTCGTGATACATCATTATTCAACAGTGATGTTTGACTCGATGGTCACTGAAGTTATTTATACTTGTGTTGACATGAAATGTGTTCATTAAACCTACCATGACGTGAGATGAATAAAAAACAAACACATCATATTTTGGGGAAAACGGATCATTTTATTGATCAACTTATGTGCACTTCAACAAGAACTCTAACATCATCGATAGATGCTATTGGATACGTTCAAGACCAAGGATAATCTCGACACACCAAATTAATCATTGAAATATTTAATAATTCTTAGATAACACAGTGGGATAAGCAGCTTGACAAAATACATAACCTTGCATGCTTCGTTGAGTCTAATCAATAAAAACAGTTTTCAAAATGATTCTACTAGTAGATACGTAGGGAAATTCGGGGCAAGCAGGTCAATTGAACAAATTAAGGTAGTTGGATTGGAATGAATAATCTGACTAATTAGATATTTTGCGACTAGACGTACATACTAATACAAACTGACAAATTTACGAATAGTGTAAATAAATAGATTCACCTAACTTAGACTAGATTCAAGTAGACTATAGCCTCGTTAGCTGTATCTTAATCACTGAAATATTTTTTTGAACTCGGATCTGTAAAAGTTAAAACGAAAAAAGTCCTAGGTGACTTTAGATCAGATGAACAACTATGGAGGACAAATTTTTTAAATTAAAAAAGTTATATATTGAAACTTTGAGATGTTTGCTTTTTGTTCCATGAAAAGTGCATATACAGGGTGGGGAAAATGGGACACTCAAAAGTAAAGTTTCATCCATTTATTTTACGCGAATTGAACGTTTTCCAATTGTCCTGTTTGATTGGCTTTGATACGATCGTCTTGCCCAAAATTTATCTTGGCTAACTTTACGTTGACGGTTTTGACCCAGACTCCCCTACTCGACTTTGACATGACCATCTTGACCGAGGCTGCCTTAACATGCGTTAAGTTGACCTTCTTGACCAATGTTCCCGGAAATAACTTTCAGATGGCTGTTTTGACCCAGATTCCTCTGACTTTGACATGACCTTCTTGACCGAGGTATACCTTAGCTAGGTTTGATATGACTGCCTTGTCCAAAGTTCCCCTTGTTGACTTTAAGTTGATATAACGGTTTTGACCTACTCTAGCTGAATTTGAAATGACCGTATTACCCTAGGTTCCCTAAGCTGGAACTGAAACTCCGATAAGCGACCCTGGTCCTAAACCAGTGACAAGTGGATCCGAGAGGAAGTAGGATGGAATGCAATACTTCTTCCTCTTCACATCATGTTAAGCTGGCATATTTGTGAAAAATACATGATTAAGCTGAAGATATTACAAAAGAGATTCTTAATACATCCGTATGCACTAAGTTTCTCCGCTTACATAGCAGCCGTTTATTATGAAAAACAGACAATGTATCCAAAATACGCATTGTATTTAGCATCTTGTAATCAATCAACTATTTAATATCAATTATAAAGAAGTAGATTAATACTTGTCGGCATATCAAACAAGAAAAAATGTTATTTAATTGCAGCGCGTTTACCGTGTGCACATGAATAATATTGTATATAATTATAGGATTATCCGATGATTTTGAGGAATATCATTTTTTCTACGAGGTGATATTGATATTTGCACAAGAGGGCGAAGTAGATTTAAATGATATTCTAAAAAGTCTTTGCAACTCTTTTTTTCTTGTTCTTACTGGTAGTACCAACCTTGGGGAAGGTACAGAGTGTAATTTGCAACTTTTTTTTCTTGTTCTAACTGGTAGTACCAACCTTAATTTCTCTAGAATTGTATGTAGTCGTTTGATATAGTAGAAATATGAAAGCCCGATGTTGGTTCCTCTACAGATTCAGAAATGCAGGATATAGCAACGCCCCTAACCCAACTCCGTAAAAGCAACGATATTATATTATTGTCATTTGATGGTACTTTTTTTATTGACTGATGCTCATATTATAATATGTGTATGATATACGTAAATGATCATAACTGGATGTACCAACCTTGGGGAAGGTACACTCTATATGATTTAAAACTCACTGGACATTTTAAGTAATTATTCTGAATATAACAACCTTGGGGAAAGTTTATTCTTCGTATTTAGACTAATTCATGTATAACTGTTTTAATCTGATATATTTTGTACGAACGTCGTCGAACGCGGTAGCCTGACGTTGGCAATTTATATGGATTAGAATTTGTTTTGTGCTTGTTTGTTTGATTGTTTGTACATATTGATCTTTTTATAATTGCATGAATGTATCTCCTTTTTATAAAGGGCAATAAATATATACATACATATACACATAGTTTGTTCCATTGT